CCAGGTCTCCGTCACCCGCACAGGGAAGAAGTTTTTCCTGATGTTTTTGTGGAACCTCCTGTGTTCTAGCTTAAACCCACTATTTCTTGTTCTATTGCTGGACACCACTGAGAAGAGATTGTCCCCTTCCCCTTGACCCCTCTCAGATATTTGTGTACGTTAATAAACCCCCTCTCAGCCAGTGGGGCCTGGACCTGCAGTGCTCAGGAGTGTGGGACCTTGCAGAGCTGCTGCTGAGCGCGGGGTGGCTGTTAACCCCGCGCAGCCCCATCCCGGCAGCAGCAGGGTCGAGCTGGAGGCTGGGCGTGGGGGCAGCCGGCACGCGGTGAGTGAGCGTCCACGAGAGACCCCAGGCTGGTCTCTTAGGTAAGAAAAGAATATGTGGAGAGAACTTGGTTTTTCTGGGCAAGATGTTACTTTGAATTCTCGTGGCAGTAGGTACGTGCAGGTTAGAGGCTCACGGCTGGTGGTTGCTGGGTTAGTCCTTGGAGTTATTTTGCAGCCTGAAGTGGACTAAAATTCACTTCCTTGTGCTCATCTTCCAGTTTCCCTCTTTATGCACCATCAGGGTGATGAGCACGTCAAATTTTGAGGCAGCAGGGCAGATCAAAGGAGCATTTAGCTCCTCATGAGTGATTTAGCAAAAAAATTGGAACATAGCATTTTAGAGCAAAAAAAATAAAAATAGATGTGCCAGTCTGTCGGTAATTCATTCTGACCAACTCTGCTAAATAATGTTGCCGGTAGGACCTTGGCTAATTGCGAGATTTTCTGTATCTTAAGAGCCCTGGCGGGGTTTGAAGCTCCAGTTGTCAGAAGCTGTCAGAAATTTCAGACTGGACGTGCTTCTCATGCTTCTCCCACATCTTCCATTTCTGTCTCAGCTTTCAGCCAGTTCCCCCCATCCCCTGGATAACGGAGAGCCACTTCTCCCTTTCTTAGAGTTTATTTTCTTTGTGCGCTTGGCAAACTTCTGTGCTGCTGAGTCGATGCAGCTGTTTCCTGTTTGCACTTTGGATCCAGTCCTGCAATTAGGTCTCCACTGATTTAAACTCATCTTTCTGTAAACCTGAGCCTATGGTGCATCAGAGCGTTCTGTGTTTTGTTGCCTGACCGAGGGAAAGAACTTAAGGAAATAAAAATTATTGCTACTTCCTAGGTAAGGATCTTGCATTCAAGAGAAGCTAGGTTTAACCAAAATGAGACTTGGATGTTTAAAATCGGCTAATCTGGGAACAGGTTTTAATTTTGGCTTTGCTTTTTTCTGGTATCGTGCCTAAACCCCTGTGACTGTTGGAAAGTTTGGGTCTTAGCTGGCATAAAAGCTGTCATACACTAATAAGTGTGAAAAACAGACTTTAAGACAGAAAATATTTCTTGATGCTGAGCAGTTAAGAGTTTGTTGGTAGATCTTTGTGTTTCCTTTATCATCCTTCTCAAATTTCAGTTGTCTTTCATTCCCACCGAAGGGAATGAAACCAGAACCACCGGAGAATAATTTTATGAAGTGAAGGCTTGAATGTCACATGAAACATTTCGCTTCGTACAGCTTCCCCAGTGGGGAAGGGGTCTGTAGTTGGATCTGAACATTGGTAAAATTGGTAGGCTTTAGCCACATTTATTTTTATTTTTTCACTGAATAAATTTGTCTAATTGTGTATGTAAAAAATCCCAAAATGATGTGTTGTGTGAACTACGTGGCAAAACTTGTTTTCACTGCAGAATGCCACCTATGGGAAAAAGATAGAGGTGTCAAGTTTATTTGGCAAGAATTTTGAACGTGTTACCCGGAATCAGGGGGAGATCTGATACGCAGCTCATCTCCAATACTGCAGCACTTGTCATTATTTAACGTGGGATTATACAGAGGAAAAAGAAATGAGAAGTATTTGAGTTGTTCTGGATTGTGTTTTTCTTCCAGCTTGTACGGCTTTGTTTGGAAAGCAAGTTGTAGTTGAGGCAGGAGGAGTATTTTATGTTGAGGCTTATATTAGCTAGAAATACATCTGCCGCTTAACACATATGGTAGCTCCCTGCCAGGGGCAATCTTTTTGTTTTTTCAGGTTGCTGCAAGCCGAAACGGCTTTTGAGAGAGCACATATGGGGTTACAGGCTCCGGAGTTTGCTGCAGACACTTTGCTGTGGTGTGAACGACTGACCGCGAGAGACTGATTTGCTGCACGAGCTCCATGACTGCAGTGTCCGTGTTGCCCCCGTGTGATGCCCTCCTTTAGCCCTTTTTTTTTTCCCTCTCTTTCCAGAAAAGACAAAGTCAGCCTCCGACGAGTCGCAGCCGCACAGCAGTGCCATTGGCCCCGTCATCGGTATAATTCTGTCGCTTTTTGTCATGGGAGGGATGTACTTTGTTTGCCAGCGAGTGGTGTGCCAGCGCTACGCCGGCCCCAACAGCCCTTTTCCCCACGAGTACGTGAGCGGCACCCCACACGTCCCGCTGAATTTCATCGCCCCGGGCAGTTCTCAGCATGGCACTTTTACTGGTAAGGCCGGGGAGGAGCTTGCATCTCAGCTGTCCCCTTCCATTTCCACTCGGGGGTCTGCAGGTTACCGAGAGGGCCAGGTGGGGAGTTTTCAAAGGGCTGAAGTCCAACGTGGTAGATCTGCTCGGTGGTTTTCCTGTAAATCTTGTCATTTGCATCAGATATGTAAAAACTAGCAGGGACGTTTCACGAGGCACCTTGCCAGATGTTCAAATACAATTTTCGCGCTAGGCTGGACCTGCAAGGGTACCTGTCTCTCTTTTTGACAGGCAACCTACGCTATTTTGCCAGTGAGGACATCCTCTTTAAAAAGTTCGGTCTGGGGCACGCAGTAAACCCGAAGGACTCTGAGCATCCACTCGGAGGAGCGTGCGCAGCTGCAGGGCTCAGATCGAAGGGGCACTCGAAGTACACGGAAAAGCTCAGGGTATTCAGCTGAGAACCCAGAAAACTCATGTAGACATCAAAGTAGACACTTAAATGATGCATCTCAGTGTTTTACGAACGCAAAATATACTTTTCCTAGAGGAAAGAGCAGATTCTTTAACTACAAAGCCCTGAGAAGGAAGGATCTATCTCTTCATATTGTTCAGGAAGCTGGAAAGTAAATGTTTGCCTGTAAACCCTTCAGGCAGCGTCAGAATACAAGAAATCATGTGGTGGAGTGCTGGAGTCTGCTTTTCCCGTCAGCCAAAAATCAGATAGATGATAAACTTAAAGACAAACGAAAAGATGTGTCCCTTCTTCATGTTAAACAAGTGTTTGAGCTGTGCTAGTTGTTGTTTTCTTCTAGCCACGCCTTTGAAGAGAGCCGGGTGCAACTTGAGTTTAGTCTTTCTCGCACTTCAATGGACATGGTCAGCTCTTCCTGCTTAAATTATGTCTTTATGGTTACCGAGAGGTTTCTCTGGTAGGAAAGAAAATGTGAGGATGAAATTGCTGCATGTGAAATCTTCATATAGTGTTTTAAATTGGACTTCACACTAACGCTTTTTTTAATTAAAGCAAGTGTCAGTGGTTTTCATCTGTACCCCCGCAGGGGCTAAATTAAGCTGTCATTCTGAAAATATTACCGTTGATGTTAATTCTGAAGAGAAGACATAGGTTCCTAGTACTGTGGCATTTCCCAAAAAAAGAAATAGTCCCGAATAATGGTTGCACATAGAGTCACTCTGCTTGTAGCAAATATTTCCTGCATCTGAAAAATTTCTGAAAACTTCCCAAACCAACTCATTCACCGAATAGTCGGACAGGAAAAAGGTGAAAATGTGTTGTCGGATTTAAGTGTATGTTGGAGTAAAACACGTTGGAGAATGGTGTCTTCCCTTTTCCTCTCGCTCCGGTTTCCTTCCTTTTGCTTCTGCTGATTTTCAGCTTAAGGGGCGACGTTTTTCAATAAAAATAGTTAATTTTTGCTGCTGTTCATGTACTTGCAATTGAATTTCTTTGGACGGAAATGAAAACTTTAGACGTCTCTAGCTTGTTTTTCGTGGGCAAGGTATAACGCTTTTTTTGCAAATGCCTGAGTTTAATTGGAAAATTTCTCACTTAGTGATCTGGGGGAAAAGTTTGGGTCGACTGTTCAGGAGATTCCTTTCCCAGCAGAGCATGCGAGCAGGCTGTGGGGAGTTCAGAGGTGGTCTGGGGGTGAGGTGTTTCCTTTGCAAAATCATAGAATCATAGAATATAGAACAGTTTCGGCTGGAAGAGACTTTTAAGATCATTGAGTCCAGCCTTCTCCTGCCTTATGAACACCACTGACCCGTGTCCTTTAACACAACACTCACCCGTCTCTTAAACCCCTCCAGGGATGGAGACTCAACCCCTCCCTGGGCAGCCTGTGCCAGTGCCTGACAGCCCTCTCAGTACAGGAATTCTTCCTGATATCCAACCTGAACCTCCCCCGGTGCAACGTCAAGCCATACGTTGTTCCTTGTAACCCCGAAGTTTTTACGTCAAACGCTGTTCCCAAAGTGACAACCGGTGGCACTGCGCGGGTTTGCCGAGCTGTGGATTGTGGAGTTGTTTTCTTTTTTTGAATACTGGATAAAATTGTGGTTTTCCTCACCCTGTTTTCCTCTGTGTCTCACTGCCAGGCATCTCGTGTGGGAAGTCCATGATTAGCTCCATGAGTCTCATGGGAGGAAGCAGTGGTGCCCCCTTATATGACAGAAACCACGTCACTGGAGCCTCTTCGAGTAGCTCTTCCAGCACTAAAGCCACTTTCTACCCACAGGTATGTCTTGAAAATAGACCTGTGGGTTAGGTATCCCCTGCTTGGGAGGAAAAGGAAGATGAAACAATGTGCTACTAAAGCGTCCATAACGCTTCGTCTTGGGTGTTACTGTTCATGGCACACAGACCCAGTCTGACACCCACCGATCATCACAAAGGGGCTTTGTTGTAGTCTGTGAGTATCAAACACCGCTCGGTGGTGTCTGAGACATTTTGTTATTAGAGCAGCACTCAGCTGGGTTGTCCTGGGCACTTCTGCTCTTCTGTCCTGCCTCCCTTGGAGGTGCCACCTGCTTTGTTCCTTGAACACTTGGATGTCAGTGGCCCAGTGACATTTCACGCTGAACAATGCTGCAGGCACGTGTGGAATAAAAAGACAATACAGGACTGGAATGCAGACGCCTGAGAAATAAGCTTGGCTTGCTGTTGAGATGAAGTGTCGGTTGTCCATTTGAAAACTGAGTCAGCCCACTGGGAGAAACACTGATACCAGCAAAGGTTACTTTCCTTGGGGTTTTTCAGCTGTAATTTAGCTCCATTTCCAGCTTATAAATGTTGGAAGCAACAGAATTTTAGTCCCTGTATCAGCGTTTCATGAGCTCAGCGATGTACAGCATGGATGGAAATGGTTCTCTAAGAATATGTAGGAGGGTCATACAAAGATTTGCCAGCGTTTTGCCATAGGACAGGTATTTTCCTTAGTACTTCTGAGCAACACACACACACATTGCTGTTCACACAAGCTTGCAGAGTCAGTGAGGTGATTTTTCAGCCACGTTTAATGAGGAGTCCCCGTACTGCGTGAGTGTATGTGCCTTTGTGTTCGCATGTAACCCCTTACCCTGCGGTGGGCAGTTTGGTGGGGAGCACTCACCAGTGCTCCCTTGGTTTTACACTAAATGTGCCGTGTATGGACTAAATGCTCTCGTTGGTCACCTGTCCTGTCCGTAACCCCCCAGAGGTACAACCTTTTACTTCTTTGCGACCCCTCTTGCTTCCCAGCCCCCCCAGCATGGCACACAGGAGCCAGCCAGTGGCCTCGGTCCCCGGGGGCCTAAGTATCAGCCAGAGCCTTTCTGTATCCCAGCGCCAGGCAGTGACTGCAGACATCAGGGGTCACCACTGCGAGCAGCAGGCGCTGTCTGCAGAAACGTGCTGCTGGCTTCAGAACCTGCAGCCTCTCAGAAGAGACCGAGCTGAGAAGCAAAAGTCACTGAACAGAATTGGTTCTGGTTGGCTCAAACCAGGACAGAAGCCCAAGAGCTGCTCTGCCTGTGCCATTCTGTGGGACCCTGTTGGCCAAAATACCAACTCTTGCATCGGAGCTAATCCGACTCACACTGGGAACTCTTCTTCCACGCTTTTCACTCCGGGCCATGCCAACCAGGGGCTGCAGGGATGGTGTCAGCCTTTCCTTTGGATTCTTAGAAGGAAGCTGTTGCAAGGGCTTTGTAACGTTAAAGTTACTGCTGGATCCAAGTCACCCAGCTTTAGGTGAATAATAAAAAGAGATCTGAGCATCTAGGCTTTTTTGTTGGGTGTGGGTTGGTTTAACACATCTTGGTGGTGCCGAGAGATGGTGCAGTGAACAGAGACTGCGATGGAATCGATGCCGGTGGAGTTACCCCAGTTTATGTACCTGAGAACCTGGCCGCAGGCTGGTGCCCTGCGGTGTTTCATGCGAACGTGCTGTGGTCTTGGTGCAGCTCAGGAGAGCCTCCAGAATCAGCGTGCAGTGCTCCTCCAAGGAAGGAGGAGTGCTCATCCAAGGAATGAGCAGTGCTCCTCCAAGGAAGAGGATTCCTGGAAGGTGCTCCTGGCACGTTTATTTGCCATGCCCCACAGCTGGCAGTGGGTGCTACCCAGGTTTGTCTTCCCTCACATGAACCTAGATGCAGGGCTTGTCGGTGTTAGCAGTCGTAGAATGGGACAAGTGTTGGGTTGGAAGGGACCTCCAAAGGTCATCCCGGCCTTGCCGTGAGCAGGGAAGAACAGTGACGAGCTCAGCTCGGTGGCCGGCAGTCATTTTGCTGGATACTGCGCAGTGAAGACCGAACCGATGATCTCCACTCCAGTGATTTCACAGTGTTATTACGAGGGAAGGGCAGAGGCAGAGGAAAGATGTCGTCACGGGCATGGTGGCAGGCCGTGGCTTAGCAGGACTGCCAGGACGAGCTGCGTACAAGACGCTCCCAGCAGCAGCAAGGCCCGACCATCAGCAGCAGCGCTGTGACGTTCCACACTGGAAGGCACGAGGCGCTCTCCAGTGCCCTGCTGGCTGTGTCAGGGCGTCTGCTCCCTGCTAGGGGTAGAATCCTAAAGGATTCTGACACGTGATAAACTGGTTTCCTAGTGTGAGGGTTACCAGCAGCCGTGTATCTGCGCACACAGGCTGGGCAGGCCAGAACTGTGTTTTAGCTCTTGTGCTCTTTGCCTTGTCAGCGAGGCCGAAAGGATACATTTGCAGAACAGCAGTAAAAAGGTTGTCAGGGAAGGATGGAGCTGTACTGGTTACAGCAAAGGAACTTGGCTTCCTGACCCTGCTGCTGGCTGAGGCTGGGAGCAAAACAGCCTTTTATTTCCCATTAGCATCTCCTGAGGATAGTATTAGTCCTTGTGCCCAAGGAACTGCGCTGAGATTCAGCAAAACTGGGTCTAACTTCCAGCTCTAGCCCAGCCTTGCAGTGTAATAATGGATGTGGCCAAAAGGAGAATTCCCTGCACTGTGAGACGTTTGGAGTAAAGTCTCATAATGAACTTCTGTGATCTTAAAGAATGCGTTAACCCATGCAAGCAGCAAAGACAGGAAACTAAAGTAAGGTTGAGTGACAGGGTGGAGGCATAAAAAATATTTTCAAAATAAATAGAGCTGTATAATTAACACAAACTTTCTCACTGCTGTTGCCTGTTGTTCCTAGATCTTGAACCCACCTCCTTCCCCAGCTACCGACCGCTCCCTGTACAACGCAGAGATGTTTTATTCCTCAAACATTCCTTCAACCACAAGATCTTACAGGTACCGCTCAGATAAAAAAGGTTTGATAAACCTCGTGTTGCTCTGTCGGTTAGTTTTGGGTCTTAAGCAAAATGTCCCTGTTCAGACTTTCTCTCTCTTAATAAGTGACCATTCAGGGGGAGGTCACGCCAGTTTTGGTGTTAAACGTTGGTTTTCTGTTCTTAGTTTCGCACACCGGAGTTTCGTGCTTTTCAATACGGTGTTGCTGATTAATAAATTCTTGTTAATGATAATATACTGATTAATAAACCTGTATAGATACTATTGCTGTGCAGCAGCCACTTAGCACCCTGTACAGAGAAGATTGGTGTTTTCTGTCCAGTTCTCCAAGCTTGTCTTGAAGCCCTTTGATGAATCAACCCATTCCTTAGCCACTGGGCTGACTGGCCACGCTGGTCTCTGGCCGGGCGAGGGCTGGAGGGACGCGCTGCTGGCTTGCGCCATTCAAATTTAAATGCAGTTTTCAGGTGATACTTCTTGGGTTCCTGTGAAAACCTGAATTAAGCGTTGCCTCGTGTCAGTGAGCAGGTGCCCAGACTGTGAGGACGCAGAGCTGTTGGCTTTGTTTCTTTTTGTTCTGCCCGCTTGTCCCCACTTGCAGCTAACGCGCGCCCTGATGTTTGTGTCGCAGGCCGTACCTCATACGAGGGATCGCTCCGCCCACGACCCCGTGCAGCACGGATGTTTGCGACAGCGACTACACCACGAGTCGGTGGAAGGCCAACAAATACTACATCGATTTAAATTCAGACTCAGACCCTTATCCCCCTCCGCCCACACCTCGCAGTCAGTACATGTCGGCAGAAGAAAGTTGCCCTCCGTCTCCTGCCACGGAACGAAGCTATTTTCACCTCTATCCCCCTCCGCCCTCTCCTTGTACAGACTCTTCGTGACCTCAACAGAAGGAACTTTCCCTGTAAATATTTTTAAATATGAACAGATTTAAAATATATATTTTATGATTTAAAAAATAAATCGGGGTGGGAATTTAAAAAAAAAAGAAATGTGAATAAAAAGGGATGGGAGGGACGGGGCTGTGAGAAATTGTACAGAGGAAGAATATTTATAAAATTGATTTTTTTAACTTAATTTCCATTCTTTTGTGCCATATTTGCCTTTTTGAAGTCATGAAAATGACTCAGTCTCCAAAGTATTTGGGGAGGGAACGTTGAGCCTTTTTGCCTTTTCAAGTCACCTTTTTAACATGCGAGGGGCACGTAGTTCATCTCGTTAACGCAAGAAAAGAAAGCGAAGTGGCTTGTGGGAGGAGGGGTCTGAAGAAAGATGTAAGTTAACCCGCTGAGAAGAAAACCATATTTAAATAAAATTGTCAGTGTCTCATCCCTTCACCACCGCTGGGAGAAAAGCTGCGAAGCTCGGAGCCCTCCGGCGCTCCCGTGGGCAGGAGGACGTGTCCCAGCAGAGCTCGTGTGCCCAGACCTGGATGTGCAGCCGCCCTCCCCGCTCACTTGGCGCTGGACCACAGCGCTGCTTCTGGCCGAACCTGCCAGCTCCGCCCGGCCCCGGGGCATCGCGCCCTGCCTCGGGTCCTGCTCTGCGCCCGGCCCGTTCGGGTCAGCTCCAAGCTCAGGATGATAACCAGCCCTCGGGTCAGCTCCAGCCAGCGCCCCCCTCGCCCAGGCGAAGGGCAGCAGAAGCGATTGTGTTGGTCCGTGGGTGAGAGCGAGGGGCGAGTTCCAAGTGGGATTTAAGTATAAGTGCCTGACAAACCCCAGTTGGCCCTTTTAACTGGGCTGGAACGAGGCTCCTTCATCCTTCCTTGTGAGGCTTTGGTGGCTGCCTGGGAAGAGGCTTCTCAAAATGCAGCGCTAGGTCTCGGTTTCCCCAAAGTGCAGTAATTCCAAGATGTTCACGTGTGTTGACTTGATGAGGGAATTGCTTTGTCTCCAGTGGCCATTTTCCAAGGTGGAATGATGCGGTCACCTGCATTCGGAAAAGTGAGGAAGGTTGGTTGGTTTTTAATCGGCATTTGTAGAAAATAGTGTCTGCAAAGCTCGACACGACAACATCTGCCGTTTGAACGGTCCAGTCATATCTCATAAAAATGTGTCACAGAATTGGTTCAGGTTTAGAATAAGATAAAAAAAAGCACAGGGGAGGAAGGAGAGGAGACAAATGCTTCTTTCTAATTGTGTTGGACTAAAAAAGACAAACTCTCGTCCAAACTGCTGTGACCTAAGGACATGGTGATCAGTAAAGTGCTCATGACCCCAGCTCCGGCCAGAAAAAAATCCCCTTTGGGAACAGAGGGGCTGGGATCAGTCCTTTCCAAAATGCAGAAGACGGTAGATTTTTGCTTTGACTGCTTTCTCGCTGCAGCCAAAGGGCTTGGGCACCGTGTGGCACTTGAGGAATTCGGCTCTGGCGATGACAACGTGAGCGCCGGCTCGGGACGTCTGAGGGAAGTTCCGCGTGTGCAGCCTCACCTGTTCCCGCAGCTGCTGACGAGCAGATGTGTGGGGCCTTCAGCAGCCTTCCTACTGGCAACAAGGAAAACTCTTTTTTTGGTTGGTTAGAACTTACATGGTACTTGGGTTTGGGTCTTTCTAGCCAGTTATTTGAGAGCCCATCGGCAGAACCCTGCGGCTCCAAGACAGAGGTGTCCGTTGCGGTGGTGGAGGTGCCGGGAGCACAGCAGCCCGATCAGTTTGGTTTTTCAGATTTGTTAGTCCAGGTCTGTTCTTCCTGTCTACACTATTGAAGGACAGGGTTTGTGCTGTCACTGGTGTGTTTCTAAAATGGTTCAAGTGGCTTTTACTACCTTCACTTGAGGGATTGAGCACAACGAAGCAGCCCGTCATTTTTCGTGGAGAAAAACACGGTGTTGTCCACAATTGGAACAGCGCTCGAGTTTCAGAATGGGTTCTTCCCCATCCCCCGTCAGCTTTAATAGTTCTGCTGCACGTAGTGTGAGCGGGATAAGGTCGCAGCTTGTGACTCCCAGAGTGAACAAGTGTTGGTGATCTGGCGAAGCAAAGCGATTCTCACATGGCCGTGTTTCGGTGAGCTGAACTGGGAATGTGGATGCGCAGGGTGCCCAGCGTGCTGCGTCGGTGAGGGAAAGGAGTCCTTGTTCCGTGCCACAGCAGTTTCCAGCCCAGTGTCGTGTCGTGGAATTTTGTGCACCACTATTCACCCCTTAGAATGAATTCATGAGTTGTTCTGTGTTGCAGTTCTGGCTTAGAGATGTACCACATTAATTTTCCCGTATTCTGGTGATGACACTGGATGCAAATTACGTTGATTAGGGTTTTTTTCCATTAAACCACTGATCTCTTTGAAGGAGCACAACTGTGACAATCCTAAACGCTTCATCTGAACACTTGTGTCCTGTTACAGCGTTTGGAGTCGAGTCCAGGAGAACTCACATTCTTGCTGAGAGCTGAACTGTCGTGGGAGTGGAATTTTTTCGGAGCTGAGGTGTCCAGAAGGCAGGAAGCACTGGCCACACGGGGTGAATTAAGCACATGCGTTTTGATTTCCGTCGGACGTTCACAGCCTCTCGCTGCTGATGTTTGCTGAGGGGCTGCTTCCTCTGAGGCACTTCAGGTTTGGGGATCAGAATCTAAGCCCCGCATTTCTCCGCAATACTGACTTTAAAAGCCTCTTGTATAAAGAATTTGTACGCATTTAGCATCTCAACATTTAAATACCAAATATTATTTTTGATTTCTGCACACCATACACTTTTTAAAGGTTTACTGCGCTCATGGTGCTAGAAAGGACCAGAAAGAAAGTCAGAGTGACAGGAGGTACTTCTCTCCAGAAATACCCTCAGTGTGCTCTTGGTGATTTCCATCCTGTGAACTCTGAGGCTAAAACGTAGAAGACCAGTGCTATTTTATTGTAGATGAGGGTGAGAGAAAGAGTTGCCGGGAATTAGGGAATGTGTATGACACGTTGTGGCAGTTCAGGGCTGAATAGGAAATAGGTGGGGGAACCTTGCACCCTGAAATTTGCAGCAGAGGTGATTAATTTGTTCATTATTGCTGGATGGTTTTGAGGAAGCTTCATTAGCACTAGCCCAGTTGTCTCATGGTTCAGTTTTCTTGTGTCTGGACAGATGGCTAAGGAGCACTTAGGCTAAGATGAAGCTAAAGCTGTCTGTATGATGAATAATATTTTCTTTCAGGTAGTGTCATAGTACAAAATGCCCCGTGTCTGTACAGGTGAGACTGTGCCATTATCAGCACGTTCTAAAGAGGAAGGTGGAAACAGGTTTTTTGGAAGGATGGGTTTGATTTTCAGTAATAAACCTTGATCTCTCCGGTTTGCGAAGGGTGCAAGCACTTCCCTGAAAGTTCTGATTCTTTTCCGAGTGACAACATAGTGGTTCCCGGAGTCACAGAATTTTAGGGGTTGAAAGGGACCTCAAAAGATCATCTAGTCCAACCCCTTGCCTTTCCTCTCAACATCTATTCTACACGCCTGGGATGGGCCCTCTGGAAATCTCCAGGCCCACTTGTCCTGGATCTCATCTGGTACCTCGATGGTCATCTGCTAGATCTTAGAACTCATCATGTTCTCCCCATTTTTGATGCCAACTGGTGTCCCTTGGATTCTGAGGCTTTTGTAATTCTGAAGCTGTGTGCCCAGTGGCGAGGAAGGATTTGGAAGCAGGAGCTCTCGGGAGCAGCTGCTGGCTCTGGGCTGACATGCCAGGCACAAGGACGTCCCTCCCTTGCCCACAGGGTCACCTCCCTTGGGTAGGGAGAGCTCCCGTGCCCCCTCTGTCAGAGCCTTTGCTGCGTGAGGGTGGTCAGAACTCGGATGTCCTCTCTGTGTGAGGCGTTTTCGGAAGCAGACCTCTT